ATAACACACGTCTCTTAGTTAGTCACAAAAACCGCAATGTCAATGTCACTGATTAAGGTTCCCGGTAACGAGTGAGCTGAGGCAAAAACTAAATATGGTCAAAGACCTTATAGCCGGACACCAAGGCTAGCGGCTTTAAATAACTACATCGAAACCGCAACAGAAAAAAAAATAATATTTTCATTTGACTTATAAGTAAATAATTTATGATCAGGGCAAATATAAACGATATTTCATATAGACCTATTTACTAACATTTCCAGGAACCGTGATTTTATGATGTGTAATCCCAATACAAAAATTACCTAATCCTGACTCATGCATTGCTCAAAGTGCACTCATTCAAGGACTTAGTCATTCAAGGAGGACTACATAACATAATAAATATGATATATTATTTTGTTAAACGCACTAGTGAGATTTCAAATACCTATATTTAATTAAATGTTGATATTCTGTTAGAGCGTCGAATACAGCATTATCGCAAGTTCACAGCATTAGTAAGCAAGTAAGTTATATGCTGTGCTTGAAGTCAAATTCGAGGCCAATTTTATTACATATAGCATAGCTGAAAACAGTTTATAAATGTTTTAAAATTGTATTTAAAAATAAAATAACTTTGTTGTAACGTTGGGGTTATATGCTTATTTATTAGGTATATAAAATTTTATAAACAAATATTCAAAAAGCAAAACCAGAATAAAAAAATACTACTTTATGTTATTCAATATTCTATATGTTGTTTTAAAGGTTCATGGTCATTAAATCTAGAATGATTGTTAAATACGGGATTGCTACCATGTACCAATCAAGTTTCCCGATATTTCGGGGTTTAATAAGATACCCTGATATTAAATCTACCTTCGTATGAGTACTTTAACGTTCGATACTAGTACCACTGTTCATAGTTTCAATATTCTATACATTAATAGATGACTCATTTAACACGATCTAAAAAAAACTAGGTACTACTGTACTAAAATACTTCTTGGTGAGGCAACTGACCATCTCTACTGAACTAGATGAACGCCAACGAATTTAATTAAGGCAGTAATTAGAAGATCACGAACAACATACGGTCGTTGCTCTATTTACCTATTTGTCTTATTCTTTAACGTTCATTTATTATTTATTGTATTTAAAGATCTAAGTATGTTACCTGTACCGATTAAAAATAAGTTAGTTCTGCGGAAAATCTAGTGGCCGATAAGTTTACCTGACAGATATATTATCTGGAAATTAGGTGGTAAAACTTAAAAAATATATCTGTAACTTTTAATTTTCAGATAGTGTCAAAATAACTATCTGAAACTTTATCAGCAAGTAGTGAAACTCACTCAAAGTGTGCTTGTAACAGTTTAATAAATAAACTGTTTGTCTTCCGCATATTTATTTGCATTGTTTCATTCCTTTTTACGTTCTGATACAAATAAATGCCAGGCATAGAGAAAAAACGAAATATAGCTGATTTTTTTAAGTTTAATATAATTAGATTTAATTATTCATAGTCATATAATATGTGTATCTGTTACATAAAAAAAAATTAGGTTCTTAAAAAATCAATAGAAACTAGAGACTGGAATGTATTGATAACTATAAAAAAGAAAGCATGAGAGATTCTAGGAATGCTCGACCTGATGCGGTTCTAGTATGTGGACACACCATACAGAGTTATGCCACGCCGTATATGGAACCTGCACGAGGTACCGTAACTATAGTAGACAGAAAGTTTGCTTGATTATAGTTGCACTGTGGATGCATTACATTGCGATTCAATAAGGTTTCGGTCGAGTAGCTCGGTGGCGTAGTGGATAAGCGCCGCGGCCCGCGATCGTTGTCGTTAAACAACTTTCGCAAGGTTCGGTCACGGGATGGGTGACCAAAAAATTATTATATCGAGCTACTCCGTGCTTCGGTAGGCACGTTAAGCCGTTGGTCCCGGCTGCATTTGCAGCCCGGATTGGGTCAGCGTGGAGGTTCATGGTCCATCCTCCTTAACCATCCATAAGGAAGGCTTGAACCCCTGCAGTGGGGACGTAAAAGGGGCTGATGATGATGAAGATTTCTTTTGAGTATCATGATAATAACATCTGTGAAATCAATTTCACATTACTGTGCACATGAATAACCATCGGTATAACATAAACTAAAGCAGTATTCCCGCGATGACATCTGCGTAAATTTTAGCCTATTTCATCCCCGTATGATGTAGCTTCCCATAAGTGAACAGTTCCCACTGAAAAGTTCCCATAAGAATTGTTAAAATCTGTCCAGTAGTTCCGAAGTATATAGCAAAAAACAATCATATATTTTCTGTTTATAATATTACTACTTAGATTATATTATTACACAAACTCGTATTTAAATAAAAAAAATATATAGTCATGTTTAAATCTCTATGGTCTCGATGGTCATAAAACGTCAGAATTGACAAACAAGTCATGATATTCAACCTCGCACCCTTGATGGTTGATCCGTCGCTTATTAACTTAAACTTTTGTGAGACGCTTGACGTATCCTCCGTCAGATGTGCACCGACCATAGAACTTTTATAATAATCCGGACGCGACAGCCGATTCTACAATCTGACTCGGTAGTTAAAAGCGATAATCGGAATTCGGCATCGTTTGTTTTTACACGTGTTTCCGTCGTGACTTATTTTTCTACTAAAACTATAAACGTCAGAATGTTATGATCTTATAGTTATAACGAAAATATTGGTTTATGATTGATAGTAGACGTCGTGTTATATTTGTTAAGCAAAATACTTTAATTATGAAAAAAGAGTATGTTGCTATTAAATGAATTTTATTATCTCTGTTAATTACTTCACGCTGTTTTTACTACTCGTACGAATTAACATGACATTTTAATGCTTATTCTATTTATCCGAAATAAAAATGTAGTCTATTTTCTAAATACAAATACGTCCGCCAGAGAAACGCATTTTTCGATAATTTATGATGCAACAGATCTTTATTTGTTGCATTGTCTGTGCATCAGAGGCAGGGTCAGGTAAAAGGACCTCACATATATAATTTTAACAAAATCATAAGAACAAATAGAATAGGCGCTCAGGTGTTATTTTAATTCGTACGAGTACGTAACGTTATTTTAATGATAGAGTGGCTAATATAATTTACACTTTGTTTGATCATATGTATGTTAAGCTGAGCGTTCAAATGTACTGTCTCTTCTCACGTTACATGGCATGGTTAGTTGAATTGAGGTCCGATGGGAGAACAGGGAGTTTGTTTAACAAAGAAGAACCTCTGTAATAGAGGGAGAATAAACAGTTAACGGTATTATAATAATGATGGTACACTGTATCATCATCACTATTAATGTTCCCACAGCTGAGGTTCAGGCACTGCCTATGGATGAAATTGAATCAAATTGAATAGGGGGAACGGGCCACGCGGACCCCGTGCAGATTGGTTGGTGTTAATGACTGCAGATGTAGCTGTTGCCAGCGGCCTAACGTGCTTTCCGAAGCACGAAGGAGCTCGAGATAATAAATTTTTGATCACCTTTGACGTTGTTTAACCAACGTTTTACAGATAGAGCGTGCTGAAATATGAAAAGCATAAAGCTTAAGGTCTTTAAAGTAATAGTTAAAGCTTAAGCTAAATAAAATATTCAACAAACAAATAATATACTAGACACATTGCTCCAGTAAATTTATATTAAGAAATTAAATCTCTTCTTTTATGGAAATCATATCGAAATGGAAAACAACAATAAATTAATTAATACAATTAAGAAAAGGTCATTTATTACAATGATTCGACCAGGAATCTGGACCTTATAGACACCACAAAACTAATTCGCTTTTGGTTTACCCAATGTAAAACCCAAACTATTTTTTTTTTACATAAAAGTAGGTATTTATTAAATCAACTGCACCATTTTGACTGGTATGTAACCAAGTAGTAAAATAATACTTCCTTTGTTTTGGTAAAATTACGAATACCTGTTAGCTAATTTATTTTATACAATATTCATGCCTTTATAGAATGCTATGTATCTACCCACTACGAAATTAAGATCTGTGACAATTCCACTTTCGTCCCACGAAGTAACCCACTCTCAAAACTGATTTGTTATTTAAATTTGCGTTGAAATCTACACATAGTTTGGTTTACTCGGCTCTTTGAAAATAATAATTTGCATATTTCTGCTTTTTTTTTCATTTAAAAATATAAAAAAACAATGCCTTTAACAAAGTGATAAACAGTTACGAAATGTACACTGAGAGGACAATATTAAATATCTACAGTTAGTTTTGAACTCTATCCTCAATGAATTAAGGTTTAAAATCAAGTAATATTTTTCAGTTTTTCTTCTTGCCTGAAGTGGTGTGACTAAATTTTTACTGTGATTTGCGGAAGGTACCACAATATTGAGTGGAGTAGGTTACTCTTAACTTAGCAACTATACAAAAGTTCCTTAAATATTCAATTTAATATAAAAATATAAAGAAGATTAAAGCAGATTGACCTTGTATAAAAATAGCAGCAATATTGTGTTATGATACAAGTACTGAGCGATAAATTGAGAGTTGCATATCGCGTATGACATCATTCTTTTCTCTGTACCAAGAGGCTGCAGTAGCTGAACAACTATTTCTTAAATACGCTTTGTTTAAATAAGTTCAATAACAACTATATCTAATTATAACACATTTACCAATCAAATAGTTAGTTAAGTAACAAAAACTTATTGTTTAATAAAATACGTAGGTATTTCTTTTTTAACAAATACACTTATTAAAATTATTACTAAGAATTAATTATTAAGGTGCTGTGAGTTAGAGGTGCTTTAGAAGTTTTTTCATTATTCAATAATAAAACGCAGAGATCTAAAGTTATCAAAAATAAACTACGACTCATGCCGTTCAAGGTAAAAGACGCTACCGAAATATATTATTTAGAAACGAAATCAAGGTTTCAGAACATTTTTCTTAGTTTAATAGAATATTAAAATAAATAAATACTTACTTAAAAAATGCAAAATAACATTGAATCCTAGACCGCACTTCTTAGCACTGTCGTAACATAATATTGTCAGTAGCACACACGTTTTTGAAATTCGATCGTCACTAAATATGCGTGGTGCGACGCGAACCACACGTCCGTCTGTCGTTCAAGTTTGCTTCGTCTGTTTGTGAAGCATGATGTGATGTATCCAACACGATGTCTACTATCGTCATCTGGCTATTATGACGACGCCTTACGCTCGCTCACCTTCGTAGAATGTGTAGAGCAATGAATAAGTATTGCTCATTTATTGTGATAACATTAATTTGTCATTTATTAATGTTGACAATTGACTTTGAGATAGGATTTTTTGTCTCAACGAATTATAAAAACTTATTTGCTTTCTTCAATTATTTTAAATACTAACTATACAACCGATATCTTAATATGAATATAACAAAGCGTTCAAATTGGTATTTATATTTCAATAATTTGCATCAACGGAATGAAACAGATTACGGCAAATTCGGGTTATTCCTGATAACCTCCTATAAATTTCCGCTCACTACGCATTAATATATAAAATAATTAACATTATTTTGTGAAATTAAAGTTCAACATACTTTGTGTTTCACTGATAAAGGAAAAAAGAACTTAGATAAAGGATGCGGTTTGTATGGAAGACCGTAATTTTTTAAGAGATATGAAACCTAATTTTGGGCTAATGAATACAAAATAAATAAAAATATATAATTGAAAATTCTTTAGCAGAAGGTGAAACAGGATTTAGATGTTTGAATTGAAATAATTTATTATTGTAGTTGACAAAATGAAATTATATCGCTGATATTAGAAATTTACGAAGAAACTATTTTTGAAATTCAACCACTATAGAGTTTGAAAATTACTATGATTTGCTATTTCATTACAAATAAAGCATCTAATACAGCGTTTATTAGCATTTTAACCTTTATTGTGTTTAGGCTGCGTACGACCGCTGTATACTACATATGTATATACTGTGGTATGATGCTGTATTATTTAACTGAATGACACTTCTAATGCTGATGTCAAAGAGTAAATGCTGATGTATGATTTATACCTGTCGGTAATATATTTCATCTGAGAATCTTTTTATTGTTGAAAATGAGGTGAAAATCTCTACAGCATTATTTTACTTAGTCCAAAATAACTTGAGCTTGAGTCTCAGATAAGAACTTGAGCGATTTTAAAGTCTATTATAAACCTAATGTTTTTATTATAATTATATGTAATCGAGTCTTGTTCGTGCATTTTTTAAAACTATTAATTTACCTCGACGTTTTGACTACGTTAAAGCAGCCGTGGTCACGAGGAGACTGGAGAACTGGCGGGCGTAGTCTTCTGATTTTAGTTGAGGCGTGAGGGTAATCCGGTAATAATGCTTTTAACAGATTTTCAGATGTACCCTCCACTTGATTTTATTGTACGTAAAGGTGGCGATACACTGCACTTACGGTATCCGAGAATATTGTTCGTGGTTTTTTGCGATCGCGACACTTACACATTTTTATAACCGGATTCCACGTCGGTGAGAGTTTATATCCAATTTCCCGGTTGAAATTGTTGTGTTTTTTGATTTCAACCGCTTCACGAACAATCCTTGGATAGTAATGTCGTTCAGTGGAAAGGACATGAGGTGTATGTAACTCGGTCCAGTGGTTTGATCCAGATGATAATAAGTGCTCTGCAATCGCGGACTTCTCCACTTGACGATTTTTGACCGCTGCTATATGTTCTCTTACACGTTCGGCGTCCGCTTCGTTTGTCCGATATATGAACTACCGCAGCTGCAGTCAATTTTATAAACGCCAGGTTTTTGGTAAGGAATACTAACCTTTGGTGATCGCAATTGGTGTGACATTTTTGATAAAGGAGTAAAAATGGTATCTATAGAAAATTTTTCCTCAAAATGGAACCAATTTTGTCCGTTACCCCCTTAACATAGCCTAAATATGCCCGTTGCCTGGGAACCTTAGGTAGTCTTTCCTTACATCTTCGGATAGGGTATGACCTCCTTGCGCTGTATCCATTTTTCCTTAGCACGTCCTGTACATGGGACAACTCATCTGCTAAGAAGTCAGTATTACATAATGCGTTAGCCCTGTTAATAAGAGTTGTCTCCATAGAACGTAGGTGTTGAGGATGATGATGAGATGAAGCGTGGATGTACTTGTCTGTGTGTGTTGGTTTCCCGTAGACAGTGTGTTTCAGGGACCCATCAGCTTGCGCCATGACTTTAACGTCCAGAAAGGGTAAGGTTTTGTCACTCTCTAACTCATAGGTGAACTTGAGATTCGGATGGATATTATTGACGTGTGTAAGGAACTACTCAATCTCCTGTTTGTTGCCCTTCAGGATACAGAACACGTCGTCTACATACCGTTTCCACATACGGATCCCATGTGACTGGTAATCTATCAATGACTCGACATGTTCCATCCATATATTGGCCAAAAGTGGCGCTACGGAGCTACCCATGGCGACACCATCAATTTGAAGGTAATGTTTGCCGCGATATAGGAGATAGCTGCCATCCAAACAGTTCCGTAATAGAACCATGTACCCAGTTTTGTACCATCAAGGATCTGTACAAATTGACGCGAGTCCTTCACAAAAGATGTTGTAGTACCCACAAGCGGTTGCAGTACCACGGTTACACAATTGGTCTCAGTGGAACGCTGGTTTTATGTACTTTCGGCAATCCGTATAATTTTGGTGGTTGTACTATCTTCGGCTTGTATTATATCTCGAAGATGTCCTCGGTGAAAAGGTGTTTATAGTCCCTGATAACAGCACGTATTCTCCTTGTTCATTTCTTCATATAGTACATCCACGCTTCATCTCATCATCATCCTCGACACCTACGTTCTATGGAGACAACTCTCATTAACAGGGCTAACGCATTGTGTAATACTGACTTCTTAGCAGATGAGTTGTCCCATGTACAGGACGTGCTAAGGAAAAATGGATACAGCGCAAGGAGGTCATACCCTATCCGAAGATGTAAGGAAAGACTACCTAAGGTTCCCAGGCAACGGGCATATTTAGGCTATGTTAAGGGGGTAACGGACAAAATTGGTTCCATTTTGAGGAAAAATTTTCTATAGATACCATTTTTACTCCTTTATCAAAAATGTCACACCAATTGCGATCACCAAAGGATAGTATTCCTTACCAAAAGCCTGGCGTTTATAAAATTGACTGCAGCTGCGGTGGTTCATATATCGGACAAACGAAGCGGACTATCGCCGAACGTGTAAGAGAACACATAGCAGCGGTCAAAAATCGTCAAGTGGAGAAGTCCACGATTGCAGAGCACTTATTATCATCTGGATCAAACCACTGGATCGACTTACATACACCTCATGTCCTTTCCACTGAACGACATTACTATCCAAGGATTGTTCGTGAAGCGGTTGAAATAAAAAAACACAACAATTTTAACCGGGAAAGTGGATATAAACTCTCACCGACGTGGAATCCGGTTATAAACGCCTCAACTAAAATCAGAAGACCACGCCCGCCAGTTCTCCAGTCTCCTCGTGACCACGGCTGCTGTAACGTAGCCGAAACGTCGAGGTAAATTAATAGTTTTAAAAAATGCACGAACAAGACCCGATTACATATAATTATAATGTATACAAATCGTGTGAGTTTAAAAATACTAATTTTTTAGTAAGAAATGTTTTGGTGAATATCAGTATATATAGTGGATAGTATTGTAACTATAAGCTCAAAAGAAACGTAGCATACTTGGCCTTGAGGTTTGTGCCTGATTACTATTTTTGCTGCAAGATTGCTGATACTGAAGGAACGGCACTGTATATATGAATTTTTATATATTTTAATAAACTATGGTCTTAAAAAATATAATTTCTTTGCCATTAAAAAAAGTATAATTCTTTGAATGTCCCTTCGATCAACATGAAATGTCCATAAGATGTCCTTCCATAAATTTAAACTTTTCTCCTTTACTCTTTGGAACGTCCAATTAATGTCACAATGACGACATGAATTTCCAAACCAAAAAATACTGTGCATAATGTAGCGCTAACAGTGCTTCGTTTAACTATGAAAAATTAAAAACAAATAGTAAGTCAATAAATCCGTCCAACCGAAAATATGATTAACGTCCTGTCGTATATTGGAATGGGGTTACAATCCGAGGTGTGTCTTTGGACACTCTTAGGACTCATAAGAACAATTTTCGATGCAACTCTCTTCAAAGTGAACGCTAATTTAAAACAGGTTTAGAGTATTACTTGTTGAATATACTGTGTAGTATTTACACATAATATATATATACGTCAAAATAGGTTAAAATCAGAATATTTTCATCATTTGAACAATTTAATTTACCTGTTAGTATTTTCATACAAAATTAATTTAAAAATTTACTTAAAAAAGCTATTCATACAAATTTACTTATTTATTAATTTTGTACACACATATAATTTGAATTAAAATTAATTTCAAAATTGTTTTTGTTTGGGTTGTTTGCCTGAATATTGATGAAAATACGAATACGCAGAAGCTAAAATAATAAGTGCTGGAAAGTTCGTCTGTTACATTAAGTCTCTGGTAGTTTCATGGCTAGTGCAGTAGCTCTGATAGCGAAAGGTTCGGCTTCTATTTCAAGTGGCCTGTAGTTTGTAAGTAAGTGTTAGTAAGTTTCAATGTTCGTGAGCATTTTTCATCATTGTAGAATCATTCATATTCATCTTATTAATCATTAATTATAGAATAGTTTCTAGCATTATAGTGTTAACATTAGTTAATTAAATTTAAAAAGAAATGAAATTATATTTTCTGTCTACAGTTTTGTTTCAAATTATTTTTTATCAAAAAGATTTTATATTTAACGAAAGCTTTCATAATTAGATTTCCTTAATATGTTGATGAACAGTAAGTGACTCTAACAGAATTTCTTGTTTAAATGTCACTTGTTTAGCAAGTTAAATAAAAATAGACGGTCTGAATAAGTCAGTGTTTTTTTTTATAGTGCACGTTATTGGGGACAACTTCTTCATAAGAACCATTTAAATTACCGATTAGTAATAAATGAAAAAGTTTTGTATAAATAAAATAAACGTACTTTTTTAGGTATGGCAGATGAATATGCCTGAAGAATTAACATTACCTGTTCAGCGCACACTACGGACCATGATATCGGGAGTCATGCTAGTACAATGTTTCACAGTCTACGTTTATCTAGCTTCCTATATTGTTCTCTTGTATCCTGTATTTTTGGCAAGTTTTAACTATACTTTTAATGAAATACAGAATTGAAATACGATTTTAAATATTTAAGTTATAATACATTTGTTGATTAATTTCATTTTATCACAAAAATGTTTGCAAATAAAATCTACTTTTACATAAAATCTTATGTCATCCACCCAAAGCTCCAATTAAAGGTCACGCGTAGAATATGTAATGATTGATATTTAATAATATTTGTTGATGAAATAAAATTCAAACGTGGAATAAAGTTGTTGAAATTTTTCTCTTCTATAGTAAACAGTGTATTATAAATACTATAAGTTTCAAAACGTATCGTAGAAGTTTAACATTTATTCTGGGTGCAGGAGGAGCGACCTACATTACTGCTGCCATGGCTTCTTCTGGCAGCTATAAGGAAGCTGCTGTGTGAATTAACGAGTTTGGCATTGGGTTTAGGGACATGTGTTCTTTTAGGGCCAGCCAGACCACCCTGTATAAAATTCGTAGTCATAAAAGTAGTTTCCATAATGCCTTCCTTTTATATGTGGATGCTAGTTTACAGGTACCCTTTATCATAAATAATATATTTTTCACATTTTATTCAATAATATTACTGTATTATTTTTTATTTGTTTTTAATAGCTACTTTCACGCCCTGAAAGTTGCATCGGTATTCAAAAATTTCCCAGCAAATCTGCCTTCTAGTGAACTTGATTACGGACTTGAATTGGCTATACGAAGGAGACGTGCTAAATCTTTACTGGGAGAAGATCAATTGCGTAAAAATTTGATTTCAGACTTGTTAGTATTTATTATTCATTATATTAATATCAAAGTGTTTTAATTTGAATGCTAACTAAAAGATATTTACAGTTATAATCGTACTCCTGCGATAACAAACTCGGATGCTGTTCGAATCAAAAAAGATTACTCTTCACGGATGACACATGGAACAGATACAAGTACAGAAGACGTGAAAGAAGAAATAAACTTTATACAGCCTGTTAAACTAGACGAAAATCTAAATACTTCAGTATGTTACGAAGACTGGTTAGGAACTGATGTGATAATGCCTCGCGATATTGACCGTATACTCGAACAGTTTGGTGTTATGATGCTAAGAATAAGCGCATATATAAGTAATGAAGGAAATGATCCAAATGGTCCGGAAATATTCAATCCTCCTACAACTTTCACAGAGCACAATCGAAATCAAATGGATTGCACTGCGATGCCTCCAGATAACGCAGATACGCCACCTTTAGTTGGTAGTAGTAGTGCTAGGACTGCATCATACTTACGTGATTATCCACAAATATTTCAAAAGAAAGCTGAAATTCCTATATCTCGTGGCTACGACAACAGTGTTGACCGAACGTCGTCGCCACGTAATAAAATTTATGATGAAGATGATTCTGTTTATCATAAATGGTCTAACTCAATATCACCAGAAGGCTCAATAGCTGTTGATACCACGTCTTCTAAGCAATCAACTATAAAGGGAACACAGCAAGTTACTGTTGCAAAGGAAAAATCGAGTAATAAAAATGTAACGTCTTCTGTAAATGACAAATTAATTTCTGAATCTGAACAAAACTTTTCTTATAATCTTAGGTTAGATTCGTCTAATCAGGGTGGACCTAGTACTAAAGGCTACTTAGAATCGTTCACAAATATACCTAGAGATGTACCAAATGAAATTGATACTAAAAGCACATATTCAAACCAAACATTAAATGAATCTGAAATAAAAATATCATCGAACACTTCTTTGAAGATAAACAATGAAGAAAATCAACACACAACACCCACACAATCTACTAAGAAAAAAACAAGAGAAAATTATGAAAATAATAAAAAATAATTATCAAAAATGTCAATTTATTTCGTATATATCAATAAAGCATCTTTATATTCTACTGTAAGTCTATATACTTAGTTCAATTTTATCACAAATAATTTGATTAGTGAAGAACAATTTTGTAGCGCGTACATTTCTACGCAAATGAAAAAAATAGTTTATAGAACTGTAACATTGGAAAAGTAATATGAATTCTAATAATTATCGCAAACATTATGCTGTACTGCTGCTACTGGATCTAAAAACATCACTCGATAATTATATTTATTTGGGTCTATCAAGTTAAACTGATAAAAGGGCAACCTATTTGTAATTATCCAAACGGTTTGAGGTACTTCATGGTCAATGCGTAAATCATTCGGAAATACTAAAGTTGCATTGTTTCTTGCAACAATGTATAGGTTCTCTCTTAGGTAGGGTTTATTTGTGTTCCAACATCCGATACTGTCTTTCGAAATGAGGTTAAAGAACATGATACCGTTGCGGTCTACAGCTGCGGCTGATACTTGTCCATCGGCGCCTCGAGACTCTCCAAGAAGCTTAAATTCGCTCACCGAATCAGAAACACGTGATGGGTTTCTAATTACAGAGGTACTTACAACAAATTCTAATGAGCTTGACATGGAATGATAGTATAAAGGACGATCTCCGTTTTGATATTTTCCTAGTGACATCCCGAATAAACCATCTGACCATTGGTAATTTAGACCATGTAAGGTATAATTTGACAGTAAGGGTTCGGGGTAGAAAGAATAATGATTGAATCTCCAGAAAGCTGCGTCTGCCGCTCTAAATACTATTAAACCAAAACGCCAGGCGTCGGCGATATAAACGTGTACATCGTCACAGAGTGCATCTCTGGAGTCGACTATAATGTTGGTAATCAGAGAGTTTTGTAAAACAAATTCTTGGGGTATCGGATAGCGGTTTAGTACGGTATCGGTTTTCAGATCTATAGCGAATAGCGTCGGCGGGCAGAGCTGGCGTGGCGTCTCAAAAGCTTCAACTTGACCAGAATCCAGGACCCACATGACACCGCAGTGGTCTATGTTCATACGGAACACCGAAGTGAATCCGGTGCAATTATCTGTGGAAGAATTAGTTGTTATATTAATATCTAATAAACATTAAAAATAAGGCATGTATAGATGGGATCTGTAAGTTTATTTTTATCACTGTCTTATTTTTTTTTAAACAATGAACTTTATTATCTGATGAAAAAAAAACTTTATCTATCTAAGAATAATTCCTTTAAATTATTAAACAGGTCTGTTTTTTACGATAATCAAGAATTTGATTATAAATTCAAAACGTACAAAATCTGAACATGCCTACAAAAAAATATTTCGATAGAATTTATTAAGTATTCTAAAAAAATGGCCCCTTAAAAGAAATTTCTTTGTCTGAAAACTTATAAAAAAAATGTCAATAACATAACAGCTCTAGTAAGCTTCCTACAGAGGATAAATCATAGCCATCTTTCATTCATTCCATTTTCATTTTACATGTTAAAAATAATTCATTTACTTGACATTGGCAGAATTAATAAAAAAAAGAAGAAGAATCTTCCTACAACTTAGCTCCCATAACTTTTCTTATAATAAGATGTTCTGTCTAAATAATTCATTTCTTTTCTTTTAGACCCGCACTTTTAATGTTTTGATATTTTTTGTTCAGACCGTTACTGATCTCCTTTAATCCCTTCTGTGATGCGTGCGACTGACATAAATTCATCATATCTGTTGTGAAGGTTGTCGTCCACCTTATAGACTGACATCAATTGTCAACCTAAGTTTATAAAACTGAAGGTTCTACCTGCATTGTGCCAAGTCCAACTCGGAAAAGGTTTGAGAGGTAAAGATTCAGTTTGACTAGCTGTTGGCAGTGATGATAGGGTGGCTGGTACTCCTTTTTTCCATCTCGGTGTGCTCACAAAAACGCGATTCTGCCAACGCTCTACACCCAACGGAATCACGTTTAGCTGGATGAATTCACTAAAATAAATAGATTATAAAATTCTTAAATATTATAAGGAGAAAAGATCTGATTGTTAGTTTCTTTGCATTGAATGGGCCCCGAAACTACTGGACCTATTTTTAAAATTGTTTTACCTATTGAAAGTTATATCAGAGGCGGGTGACATAGGCTTATAATTTACTCGGGTGAAGTTGCGGGAAAACAGCTAAATAATGTATATTAATAAGAAAGTTGAAGAGTTTGAAGTCTATAATCTCAGAAACTACTGGAAAATATTCTTCTTTTTTAAATTAGTCTCTTTATCGAGAAAAGCTACAGGCTATATAATATTCCGCTATGGCTTATAGGAGTGGAGCAGCAATCAACAATGTTGCGAAAACAGGCTACTTTACTTTTTTTCGCATGAATGTTCGTTTTTTAAAGCTTTCCTTGCGTGCGTTGCAAAAATAAATATAACACGAAATAATATACAATATTGATGTAGTGTAGTTACGACTAGATGTATGTAAGTGGGAATAACAACTTTCGCTCATTATAATTTAATGCTGTTTGACAAAAACATGATCCATTTAATCCCACTTCACTAGTTATCGAATTACTTATAAGAAGTAGTAGCTGTCACATGTTGAAACGTTACAAATACACTTTCATGTAAATATTACGACATCAATCTATTTCGGTTACGTTACTATAAATAGTTTATTATTAGTAGAAAGAAAAGGGTGTTTGTTTATGCTTATTTGAGGTCTCCACTACAGTATTTATACATGCAAACCAATCTTAAATTTAATAAATAATTTCGCAATCTGAAGTTTGTTGTTCGTTTTAATACACTAATCTCTGGAACTAGCAGTGAATTGTATAGATTGTATTTTCTAAGTAGAAAAGGAAAAGCTCGCTTTGTGAACAAAAAGGTGAAGAAATATTACAAGAATAATTAAAAGGCATTATAAAACACTATATAATTCTGCTAATTATACTCGTATTTATAATATAGTTTAGGTACGTATTAGGCCGGGTCGTCGGCTAGTGTTTTATTAATTTATGACTATATTCTATATTGCACAGTAAATCATTAACATAGAATAAAATTAGGAACATATACAGGTGGACTTATTACAAAGGTAGCAATTTCTGATAGGCTGCCATAGGCTAAACGAAACTAAGTATGTATATACAACGTGTCCCAAAATTCTACGATAAGCGGGCGCCAAGAGGTAGACCTGCTCATGTGTACTTATGGAAAAATAAGAAAAAAATTATATCTTATTAATCTTTTTTATTATAAAATAAAATTCGAAAATTTTCGAAAGAATTGTAGCGAATAGTAGTGCTACTTAGGTATCCGATACCAAAAAAAGATTGAACATAATTGAGAAGTTGTGGTCGTGGTAGTTGAAAATATCATAAAAGGTGTAAATTTTCGAAGATTTTCGAATTTAATTTTATAATAAAAAATATAAGATATAATTTTTTTCTTATTTTTCCATAAGTACACATGAGCAAGGGTACCTCTTGGCGCCCGCTTATCGTTGAATTTTGGGACACGTTGTATAGAGTAAAGAAACTACGGACAAAAGAAGGAAAGAAGAATGAAGAACATATATAAAAGTAAATAAATATACTATTTTTCAGTATAGCCATTGTGATTCAAAATTGATCAAACATAATAATTATTAAGTTAAATATAATATATATATAATTGTAGATTCAGGGTTCTGTAGTGCAATTTTCATGTTCTTACCCATTATCTAATGCAGCTTGCCTTTCTTCTGGTGTAGGATATTCAAAATCAATCTGTTTCCATCTATATAAAGTGCCTATTACTTTATTGTCGGCAAAGTATGCATCGACGTGCAACAACACCGACAATATTATCAAACCTGTAAGCGTCATCTGTAACAGTAAAAATAATTTTAATAACGAAGGAACCAATAATAATTCTGAAATAATAATAATAACAAAAAATTAGGAATTTGTTGTTTTTTAATATTCAACCTATATGGTGTCGAAGCATACGAAGATTTCAAAATTATAATGAATGTGCCTGATTTCGAATCTACTCCACCTGAGTTCGAAATCGGGTTTGGATTTTTATGACAATCTTGAATTAGTAATAACGTTTACTGGCATAAGTTAAGTGAGTCTCGAGATAGATATAGAATATTTGAGACACGTATAATTAATCAATTTTGTTTTGTATGTAAACAAAAATTCGGACATAAGAGTGAATTCGAATTCGGGTTCAAAATTTTTCAGAATCGTCCTGTAGGTCCTAAATTAGTTAATGCACTTGTATTATGGAAATCTGAAATAGCGAAGATAACACAGCACCCAGATCAGATGCATTGTAAAAGAATTCATTTTCTACACTGAGCTGCAAGACAATAATGATTGAATTGTTAATTTCAACTTAAGTAAAGTACGAATTAGAAAAATTGCAATATCGGAGGAGAGGCTCCAGTCTCCTACATGCTGTTCACTTTGGCACTTGTTACTGTAACTTTTAAGAACGTTTGTGAAAGAAAAAGAAATATTATTATCATTGATTAGACGGAAAATCGAACCCAAGACCATAGAGCTAGCAACAACACCTTGAAACAGGCATGCGAGCCAGTTTACCACAGACTATGCAAGACTTTTTGTTCGTTTTGCATCATATTACCTTGCACGATATGAACTCATTTTAGGCAGATCACGTTTTAAACTAATACGATGTAACGGGTTTTAAGCAACTACGTAACTTAATACATAATAAAGGTGTGGCTCTTATTTAACATTTCGTTTCCAGTTGTCCGTAAAATCATATAACTAATAAAAGAGAATATATATACAATAAAAACCAACCAAGTCTGAGGCGCACGTAGGGTCTAAGTACGGAACCCTACGTGCGCGCATCCAAGGTAAATATTTAAGGGAGCTCACAACATACACTTGGCCGGTGCTTTTTGACTATTAACTACTGCAGTTTTCTAGGGTCAATCTATAGTTTCTATAGTTAAGAAAATATTTTCTGTATATTTTCTTAAAAATTATAGGACCAGTATTATAGGCAAAGAGAATTTAAACATTACTCGGTAGGTAGTTTCAAAAAGAAAAGGACGACCACAGTGCCCACTTTTCATTCCATTGTCCTGTAGATGTTTATGTTGAAGTTAACTATTGCTATGTGGTTGTGAAAAAAAATATTTTTGTTGTTTACATAATAAGTCCTTCTTCATAATTTTCTATATTAACCCCAAAATGCTCCCCCTTAACTTTAGAATTCATTTATTTATAGTTTATACCTTACCGACTTTAAAAATATATTTAAAGTCCAAAATATATTATTTTATATACTTATCTACAACACATTTAACACTATACTTATGTAAACTGAATTTCAACACCTTACACCGTCTTCCTGAAGGAAAAACATCCGTCGAGCGTGTCACATATATACCTATATATTATGTATAAGCGACCATGCTTCGAACGTCGATCGTATCAAGGCGCGCCAATCATTGGTTATTACATGTTAGTCCACAGAACACCGATTGACAGATGAAATATGAAATGCTTCTTCAGAGAAACAGACCTTATGGGTCATGTAGCACTTAATCTAGTAATTCTCTTTATAATAGGGATGACAACAAATTTTTGTTGTTTGTCCGTTAGATAGACTGTTGAAAAATATTAAACAAGTTTTTTTTTTGTTCGTAATCAATAAATGACGGCGATACTCGTACATTGAGTTAAAATGTCACATGACGGCGTTGCTATATTTTCTAAAAAAGTGTGGGGTAGCGAGCTTTTGTTTTTTCTAGGGATGTTCTGATTCCATCAAAGTATCGATACCTACTCATGTGAGTATTGTTTAAATCATTTTTCAATACTAATCATATAAATACTACCAAAAGTATCGATATAAGTGAATATTTAAGATACGATACTTTTAAGATTTTTATAATGAAATGAAATTATGTGGAATAGTTTTGTTATGAAGAGAATACCCCTAACTAATACCCCTAATGTATCGATACATACTCATATTGATATTTTTCGATTTTATAACGAAATGAAATAAAAAGGAAAAATTTTGCAAGGGTAAAAATAAAAAGTAAAGTAGATAATTGACAACTTTTTATTTAATCATAATAAGTTAAAATTATTAAATTTATCGGTTAAATCATTTCGGTTTAAAGTTTTAACGTCAAAACATACTGCAAAGCTTGATCGAATAAGTACTCGATTCTGCTGAAATATTCTATACGATGAATGACGCGCTTTATCGATAACCAACAAATACTTTAGCTCTTCCCTTATGTCTGATGCGTTCGGAAGTTCGGATATTATATTCAGATCAGTCTGCGTTAATTTAATTCGATTCGATACTAAGTACTATTGTTTCAATACCAAGTAAATATCAAAGAATTATTCGATGTTAAAAGACCTTGGTATCAAATATAAGTAGCGAGTAATTACTCGTATTTAATAATTACGGAAAAATCTTAGTTTTGTCGCTGTTATAATAAACATTTTGTTGATATTTGGTGAAAGGCATAATTTGTTTTGTTATAAAAATAAAATTACCTATTCCCTTTCGATAAAATTTATACAAAAACGAAACGACGAAGTTATCCGTGAACAAACATAAAAAAGCATAAATACCATCCAATTGAGAAACATCCTCCTTTTTAAAAATGAATTATTTCATCTGAGCATTGTATGTTGTTTTATATCATTGTTGTAAATAGGTATAATCATGATTATTATAACAATTGTGCTTTCTGTTTTACGAAAAATGTTTATAGTGATAATCAAAGACTACAGTAAGGGCCAGTTTTACCACTCGCTGATAAAGTCCCTGATAGCCTATTAGTAACTTATCTGCCAGATAAATTACAAATTTTGGTTTAATGAGTCTCAGATAGAACTATCTTACTTTTATTATTAAGACTTTTATTTGTCAGGTAGCGTTATATGTTAGATAACTATCTGTAACTTTTTCAGCAAGTGTTTTAACAGGCCCATCTGTTAAAAAACAGCGTCGACTAGGGCTGTCATAGCATTAGAAGTTTTATTCGATTTAAACTTATGTGGTTCTAGTGTTGTTTATTGACCTTTTGAAATAGGTTTTACTTGATTGAATCCCTAATGCTGTGACAGTGCTGTGTTCGACGCTGTATCTGTAACAGAATAGAAGCTGGATCGTTTCTATATAAGATGCTATTCTATTCTATAGGTAATTAATTAAATACTTCTTTAGATTATGAGTTTGGATTTTGCCTGCAATCAAATATAAGAAATGTGTAATTAAATATTTTAACTAACTATATTTTTGTTGACAACAATCATTCATATTTTACGACTAGAATAGCAATATCTTTTATTAACATCTCGTAAAGTTCTACTCCAATTTTGCAAAGCTTTTAATGAATTTTGTAGGTACTTTATATGGTTTTTGCTAGGATTGGATTTTATAGTTTGAAATTATCATTATTACATAATATTTTTTTAGGTTTTTTTAATGAATAAAAGCTTTTATCTTTACTTATATTATAAAGCTGAAGAGTTTGTTTGAACGCGCTAATCTCAGGAACTACTGGTTCGAATTGAAAAGTTCTTTTTGTGTTGAATTTTGGCTATATAACATCATGCTGCAACTATTAGGAGCGAAGTAATAATGGAAAACGCGGAAGAAGTCGCTGGCGGCCACTAGTATATAATAAATTAAAAACTCTAGAAGAATATGTTACGTATGTATTATACATATCATGTATGTATATTTACTACAAACACAAATTCAGAGAAGAAAGAAAATTTAAACAATTATTTTGTCATCTTTATGGGCGTATTCTGCAAATAAATAATGAGTTGATATTAAATTTGGTTTATGAGTTCGTGTTATGAATTTGTTCAAACTTTTTACCTAATTGAGCATCAAATTAATAGATACAATAATGCAGTTGCAGTCAAACTTTTTTGGAAACCAGATATTTACTCGTGTAGATATTCTTTAAAATAAAACTTAACCTAATTTTATGAACTGTTTGTTAATAATGAATTTCATACAATATATATCACTTTAAATCCGATCATTTGCCAAAATTTAACTGACATCTTCGGCATTGCTGTACTCTCGTAAACAGACAACTTATTGTTAGCGTAAAATTATCATTAATAAAACAAAAGTTGTTATTTAAATATTATCTTTATACAATAATGCAAAGTAATATTCAATCATTTCTTACCTCATAAACCGGTCACTGAACTCGAATTATCACATATTATTATTTAGACACATCAAAACCAACACGAACTCTTGAGACGCGTGTATTTGTCTTCGAGTGCAATAACACAATAATAATACTTGCTTAATCTTCTATTACAGACTCTGCGATTCTAATAGACGACTATTTCGTTATATAACAACTGCTTTAGTGACTATTTAAAATTGATACACGAAAGTATATTTATCTAGTTACATTTTGAAGGACATTTTGTTTACGAACTTAATTTGTTCAAAATTAAATTACATAAATGTTGAAAACTGGTTTCCAAGGTGAGTAGGAATACCTATAGCGGTCGTTTGCGGTAAAGCATTTTATAATAGCTATTCATAAGCTAAATTAACTAAAACAATTATTTAATTAATTAAAACTTTATTGCTAAATTAAAGCGTATAAGTGGCCGACTTAATGCCATTTTTTTTACCAGTCAACAGAAGAGTTATTATTAAAAATTTAAGAAGGCGGCGCAACATAAAATTAAGTCCAGTTAATATAGATACCTAATACGATACCAAAAAATCAAAGTAGAATAGCATATCATCTATCTAGTATAAAATATATAGTATAAAACAAAACTCGCTTCCCCTTGTCTGTACTGAGATCACAACAGGTTTAATGAGGTTTTCATCAATAGACAGAGTGCTTCAAAGTTTATATGTATTGGACCAGGCGGGTGAAGCTGCTGACGGAAAGCTATATTAATCACAATGTATACTTAGATTAACAATGTCCAGATACCGTGTCTATATCTTAAAAGTAAATACCACTGAGACTCGTCAAAGCGTGTGTTCTAGCAGATTTGCTCGACAGAATGTCAATGGCGTTTCTTTTACATTACTTTTAATCAATGAGGGAAGAATTTACTATTTCACCATTAATTTACGTTGCCTTTTTGTACGAGACACGGAATCTGGAATGATTTAACATTGCATACATACTAGTACTATTACATATCATAAATAGAGATATAGACCGATATACATATAACATATAAAACATAAATAAATATAAACATGAAAGATTAATTATAAACGGTAGGACTAAGATTAACAAAAACATTTCTACTAATGTATATTAGTTTTACTATCAATAACATTGCATTCTAATTCAAAAATATTCAAATTATCTATCTTTTAATTTTTTATTATAATTCTTAAATAAGTTTCAAAAGAATTTCTTGTTTTATGTCCTAAGTCCGACAAATTAGTTTTTACTAAAGAGAAATCGCATATGTAAAAAAATTAAATTAAAAAATTAAGGCGTTCTTTTTATCTTTCAGTCATCGAAAAAAAAATAAGTAATCGAAACGTAATGAAATCATATCCAAAAGCTAATGTGGATGTACAATCAATCTTTATAAAATTAGGCCTAACAAATTTTAAGATTCGATTTAAGAATATACGGATTAATTAACCCATTGGCTACTTATAATATCTTTTAAATTATTTGATTCATTAAAATTGTTATAAACTGAATTTAAAAGTGTAAAATGATCAACTAGCATAGCTGAATAAGAATGTACTCAATATAAATGAAACTGTATTTTATAATTTTCAAGTAATATATTTATAGTTTAATTATGGCATCGACTTCAGAATAGCGTACGTACTTCAGGATCACACACAGTCCCCCTGACTGCTTCCGTGGTATCAGCAAATAGTATACGGTAATTATAGTCGTTAAGATTCAAACGCCTAGCTTGGAACAACGGCAATTTGTTTGTTATCACCCATACACTTTGCTGTTCATCTTGATCTACCTTTACATCATTAGGAAACACCAGTGTCTCTGAGTGTCTCGCCACCACTCCTATTGTACTCCTTCTATATTGTTTCGTTGTATCCCAACACCCAATACTATCTCGTGACACTAAACCATAGTACATAACACCTTTTCTGTCAATAGCTGAAGCTGAAGCTTGACCCTTAAAACCTCTACTATCACCAACTAAGTTAAATTCTGTTGCACTATTGTTTTGTCTTGAAGGATCTCGCAAAATCTTTGTCGGTACATACAATTCTCTATAACTGGATAGTGAATGAAAGAATAATATTCGTTCCTCGTATGGGGTGATCGGACTCAATGATAAACCAAATATACCATCGGGCCATTGAAAGTTTACACCGTGAACAGTGTAGTTAGATGCTAAAGGATCTGGGTAAAATAAATGATGGGAAAATCTCCAGAATTGAGCGTCCTTTTCTCTAAAAACTAAGAGTCCGAAACGCCAAGGATCAGCAATATAAACATGGAGATCAGAACAGTCAGCGGTTCGGGTATCAACTATAATATTTGAATATAAGGAATCCTGTAAGACGTATTTTTCGGGTATGACATAGCGGTTGATTAATTCATCCGTATGTAGATCGAATACGAAAATGCTGGGTGGGCACTTTTGTTTTGGATCGTCCTGCGCATCAATTTGACCAGAGTCAAGGACCCATAGTCTTCCACAAGAGTCAGCAGCTACTCGAAATACTGATGTAAGGCTCAAACAGTCGTCTTTTTTACCTGAAATGGCAAACAGATTAGTTCATTTAAGATCAGTAATGGCTATACTACTATTACAACGGCTTTCCCTCTTCATATGGGGTACTAATATTTTTGGATCTAAATGCTGCTATGCTTGACATTGAGTTCGAAGCTGTTACCTGACATAATAGTAAGCGCCTGCATCAATTATGTAACTGAATTCAAAAAGAGTATCAATTTGTTATATTATTAGGATTGAACTTTCACCTTCGTTAGTAGAAATGTATGACGGCCCATATTTGTTCAAATTCACGAAAACTAGATTAGTTAGGTGCTTTTTTTATTTAAATTCAGTATAATCAATCTGGTGAGAAAAGCCGTATAATTTCTAGATGACTTCAATAAAATAAAAATTAAAAGGATTCCTTATCGCTTAAAACAGCATGGTTTTTTAATATGCCATGCACACCAGTGTGTGTTTGCCACATAGCATGCGGCCATGATCAATCCATGAATTTCAGATGATAAGATTAACTTACTATAAGCTCTGTGGTAGTTCCAATTGGGATAAGGTTGTAGCAGCGGTGATGTCAGTCCCCCGTCTCGCGATATTGTAGCTAGTGTAGCAGGCACTCCTTTTCGCCAGCTAGGAAACGTCACCCATATTCGTGAACCCCATATTTCAAGACCTAAAGGTAGAACGTTTTCCGGTATGTATTGTCTGAAATAGATTTGACATTATAATTACCTGACGTTATGAAGTAACAAAAAGTTGAACCTTTAAATATAAATTCATGATATAACTTCAGAATGTTTAAGTAACTTCTAACGGAGTAAGGTTTAAAATATAAATCCGTGGACTACTTTTTAGACCCAATTATTTTTTGTAAAAGGTGATTAGCGGTTTGTTTCACCTTTTCTAAGATAACGACAGATCTAAAAACTAAAATACTTTCGTTAAAATCTATCAGAGTTAAGGCGACCGTGAATAGTGCAATCGTTAGCTCCATTGAGCTTTTGTTTTATTTTATTTAGAATCTATTAATCCAAAGTAAACAGCAATTTTGTGCTGATTGCTGTTACTATTTATTTATTGGTTGTGATCTTGTGTTGAATAATTAACATAAGGCCGCCTTTTTAACTAACTTTGGCAGTAATATTTTATATAAATTAATTTCTCCAAACATAAACACTTCCACATACAGATAATGATTTATTTCTGGTTCCAATTATTATTTAAGTTATTAGTAAAATATGTATATATCTATTATATGACTGTGTATTATTTTATAAAAACCCACACATATTTGTAATTAGTCTGAGAAATGATAGAAAAATCTAAATAGAAAATTTTAAATCAGCTCTTTCAGTAATTTTAGATTTGGCATTATATAATTAAGTGACGAATGCAGTGCCGTCACAACATTAGATTCTACCAAAAAAATATGTATTTTTCCTTTTGAAGTATGTTTTATTTAATTTAATCTCTAATTAATTATGATGCGTTGAACGCTTTATTATTAAGTTTGACGCTGCCCCATTTCCTACCCTGTCGCAATAGCTTGTCTCCGATGGTTAGGTGAGGGAAATTCGAAGTCGATATATTTCCACTTGTAGAGAGTACTAAACGGCGGTGTATCCATGTCAGCTGGTACCGCCTGTGAACGTGCCATGCTGAGCATGGTCAACCACAGCGTCAGCCGGGATGCATCTGAAATAACAATTAAATGAAATAATTTACTATACTCTATCATGAAATATAAAAGTTTATAATTTCTTTTTTATCTCAAAAAACTAATACCGACTATTTTTGAAGTCAATATTGGTTTTGAGTTTTTTTAAGTAACGATAGTTTAATAGTTTTAATGATAAAAGTACAAATATAACCATTCCTGATTACAAAAAAACTATTATAACCTCATGAATTTGTAATGGTTGAAAATTTAACTCCATTTGTTACACAACAGTTATTCATCGAAAATGACGCTAAATTAGCGTAAAACGTTTCATAAAATCAGCAAATCCGTCAGGTCTGTATTGAATGAAGTGCTGTAAAGTAATTGAAGAATTTTAGTTTCGACTAGAAAATAATCATCAAACTCGGTTTTATGTTTGAGACCGAATTTAGGGGTAAAATACTTATAATATCAACGGTATTTTAAAAGTGACGTATACATGCATCAGTTTTAAAATACCTTTGAAATTATAAATATTTTACCATTTGTTTTTATTGTATTTCTTTTCTATATGATAAATATTGAAGGTTACTTTTATATAATAAAAGCCAGTGTGTATATATCCGATACCCAAAGATTTCATTTTTTATTATTCATAATACATTATTTAACAAATTAAGGATGAAGACAATTTTTTTTTTATAATAATTGCTAATTTGTTTTTATTTATAATTTTATATATAAATACAATATGGCACATGATGTCAAATTTTCATATATTTTCTACAAAACTGTGACGTAATATCTAGCTTTTTAAAAAAAGTTAGATAAATAAAGTAAAAAAAAAAAATCTGTCTAATATTTTTCTATTATCTGACTGGCGCACTAATTGGAATTAATTTTTCTTCACCCAGTTATCATCATTATTACAGATATTTTGAACTTACTTTTTAATGCAGACGAAGTAGGAAATGAAAATGTTAAGGTATCCATTATCCAAGAATAATT